CCCTCCACTCCATCCCTCGACGAACCCAAACCACCCCTTTCCCTCCCATCTCCACCCCCTGAACCACCTCGCTTAAAATCGAAAACCCGATTTAAGAGATTTCATTTTTGGGGTTTTATTAGGGTGTCAGGGATGGTTGTGTTAGGGGGGGAGTGGATGCAAATGGTAGGGGGCATAGGGTCGGGGGGAAGGGTGGCCACCGACGATGTTGGTCGCCGGTGGGGGTGGAGGCAAGAGTTCGGCTGGCGTAGGGGCGGTGGAGCGGTGGGAAGAGTGGCTGGGATTCGGTTTTTTTTTTATTGTTATTTTTTTGATAAATAAAATAATAATAAAATGAACCAATCATAAGCCACCACGTAGCATAATTAGCCTTAATGACTGACGGAGTTAATTGCCGTTAGTCATTAATGGCACTCGGTGAAATTTTTAAAAACTCGGTGACATTTGGTGAATTCTGAAAAGTCCGATGGCATTTGGTGAATTTTTAAAGTACTCAGTGGCATTTGGTGAAATAGCCGTAAAAACAATAATAAGTCTATGAATAACTTCCACTATTACTTTTTTTACTTTTTCTTTTTTTTTTTTACGGAAAAAAAAAAGTAAAAAAAGTAATAGTAGAAGTTATTCATAGACTTATTATTTTTTTTACTAATAACACACATACTATGCATTTTACTCAAAAAAAAAAATGAAAAACAAAAAATTACCTATTTTAATATATCAACTAATAATTTGGTTTTTAAAAACCCCAGTCCCCAAAATTACAAGGAATCTATATTAATTTTGTACATTTTTTCCTAAATTTTCCACATAACACTTGAAAATTAATCTTAAAATTATATGTTCTTCATTTAAACAAAACAAGAAAATTACCTATTTTTAATATATCAACCAATAAATTTGGTTTTTAAAAACCCTAGTCCCCAAAATTTCAAGGAATCTATATTAATTTTGGACATTTTTTTCTTAACTTTTCCGCATTTCACTTGATAATCAATCTTAAAATTATATGTACTTCATTTAAAATAAAAAATTCAACCACCATATGATCCACTATTTTTCCGTTAAATTAACAATTTTCTTTTTAACCACACCTTTTTATTAATTCAATAATTATCAAAATCAAAATAGCACGATTTATGTGATTATGTCTAGCTAGCCACACCGTGTGGCCAACTGACACACACAAAACACTAACCAGGTAACCCTGTCGGAGTAACTTCTGACCGAATAACCCCTGCCCAACTAAGTAACCCTTACTAATGTATACACCCAAATGTGTCTCCCCAAAACCAAACCTAGTGATGAATACCTTTCATGTAATTTGATTATCGAACAAAGTGAAAGTGTGAAAAGTTAAGTGATGAGGGTGTTTTTATTAAATTATCTCTTCTTTCTGTTTTTAAAAATATTTCTTTTCTTACCTTATTTATGAAAAACGTGCATTCCATTTTAGTTTGGTCCATGATAAGGGTCCGATAATAGAGTAGTTGGATAGGGCTTGAAAAGACCTTTCCAATGATATATTATAAGCCCAATTCCGATGAATAATAAGGAAGTTATGGTCAAAATACTAAACTGGGCCCGATTTGGATTTTATATACGGCCCAATGATCTAGAGGATGGCTTATTATTAATTATCATTCCTTAAGCTATTAGGATTGATTATAGTATTCTAGAATGGAGTTAGGATTGATAATTATGTTTCAAAGAGTTTGAAATTGAATAAAACTAATCTTTTTAAGGATCCTTGTTTTGTACGAAGTGGAATGTATTCGGATTTTATTTTCGTGCCTCATAATCTTTATCAAAATTTTATATGGTTGGATAGATCTTGAAATTATCTTTCCAATGATATATTATAATATTAAATCCGAGCTATAACGAAAAAGATATGAATGAAATATGAAACTCTATCCAACTCTTCCACTATTTCGGCCATATCTTTTTATCTACAAAAGATTTTAATCTGATTCCAATTGGGTTGGAAAATAGACTTCAAGAGCTTTCCAACGACATATTACATGACTTATTTGGACTTCTAGATCAAAAGATATAATAAAAACAAAATCCGCAAAAACTGTTTCCAGCGTCTAACGACAGGACCAGGGCGCCCTGGCGCTAGTGTCCAGCGTTTGGCCACACGCGCGTGTTTAGCGCTGCGGTCGTGTTTTATTCTTTTGGAAACTCTGATTCGTTTTTTATCACATCCGACTGATTTTCTCTATAAATAGCCTCCTAAAACCTCCGTTTTCAATCATCAAATTCAATCAATTCTTCTCATCAACTCTCATCGATTCTCTCTCTTTTTCTAAACTAGTCCTTTTACAAACACAATTCCTCATACATTAGCACTAGACACACCTAGCATAATTCGAAGGTGCTTTCGCCCTAGACGTGAAAGGTTTGATAATTTTTGAGGGTTTGGTCCCAAATCTCTATTTCAATTATTTAATTTAATTGTTTGATTATTATTTTCCTTGAAGTTAGTAACGCGTGTATTTTGTTATTAGAAAGAGATACGAGACATCCAAGTAAGTGCTTTAATTGATTTATTGATTATATGGTTCTTAGAAATCATGTCTTGGTTGTTATTATGATTCCTAATGTCATGTTAGGGCGTTTTGATCTTTCTAGTATCATGTTTAGGGTAACAACTATAATTTTTAATATCAAATATGACAATTGTGATTCATGTGATGCTTCCTATTTCTTTCCTAATATTCATGTTAGGGTTAAAGCTTTGATTTTTAATGTTTAGTGACATGCTAGGGTTTGTTATTGATCTTATTAGTATCATGCCTAGCATCTTGCTATTATTATGCTTAACATGATTTATGGTTATATTTACATGATTATGATTATTTTAATTATTATTATTATTATTATTATTATTATTATTATTATTATTATTATTATTATTATTATGATTATTCTTATTATGATTATTATGTTGCTTGATATATTGTTATTGCTTGATCACGCCTTTTATGCATGTTTAAAGGGAATTGATACTTGTAATCACGCTTAATAAGATAATTAATAATCTTGTTTATTGTTAATTTGATTATAATTCAAGTGATCGCCATTAATAGATTTATTTGTGCATTAATATTCAACCAACATAGATTAAACAGGTTTAAGGTAAACCTATTGATTGCATGTTAGTCAGAAAGCGCACATGAATACGATCAGAATAAAGTAGAGGTCGATTATTAGGGCAGGTTCATTCTCTTTCAGGTTGGATTTGTACCTTCATCCCCGAACTACCGGTCATGGTTCCAGACCTATTGGAGTTGACGATCTCTTGGATCGTTAAGGAGTGTAACCTTCACCTTGTGAACGGTTTACAAGTTCCTAAAACTTGTTGGCGACTCTTTTGCTTTATCTTCTTTCCCTTTGGACGCCACCGTACTTTAGTGTATGATCACAGTGGGGTTCAAGCTAGGGTTAATGCTTGAAATATTCCCTACAACTAAGTAACTGACCGATCAAGTAATTGAACCGAATATCCATTGACTGATTAACCCCTAATTGACCGATCAAGTAACCCCCTATTGACTGAATAACCCTTGAGCGAGTAACCCCTAACAAAGTAACCTCTGACACCCTCGATTGAGTGACCCCTTACCGAGTAACCCTTGAGTAACTTAGGAACCCCAGAACAAACCAGCCACATATGAAACACCCTGTGAAACAAAAAAATGTATACATAATGTTTACTACCCATCCCAATAATTTCTTTTTTTTTTTCCTTCGCATATAATATAATCCAGGCATTAGCATAAGTATGCACATTGACTCATATTTCTAAAAAATATTCAATTGGGGCAAACCGCCTGCTAGCTAAAGAACAAAGTAACTCCAATAACAATGACGAGATAACCCTTAGAACACTTAGGGTGATTTTTTTTTTTTTTACAATAATTACCTACTCACTACCTTTTTTATTATTATTATTTAAACTTATACAAAAAAATAATAACTATCCATCCCACTAATTTTTATTTATTTATTTATTTTAAATTTTCTAAGTGACTACTACTAACATTTCACCTCTTTTTAGAAAAATTGGCCGCAGCAACACCAACTATGACAAAGGTGCGTATATCAGCACAACCTTTCAAGGGTGCACTCAACAACACAAATTATGCACTTGGGTGCACATAACAATGTAAATTATTAGCAAAATGCTCAAATGAAAAAAATATATAAAAGGTAAGACTAATTTAGTCACACATGATGGAAAATCATATAAGTTTAAATAATGTTTAGACAATTATATATAAAATAATAGAGATTTCACTTTTTCCATGGAACCTTAGTTCATTAGTGTTATTTATGCTAATATGTATACCCAATTACATAGTTTGTGTTGTAGACGCACCCTTAAAAGGTTGTGCTGCTACACTGCTTAGTACCTACATTTTTTTTCAAGTCAGGTTAGTATGTCTGGCCATTCCGCCATTGATGGTCGCTTCACTCGGTTGCACCTCCTAGTATAAGGTAATTAATCCAAATAATATGGCTTTCGATGATGAACAAATGAGATTACCTTGACAAATGTGGATTAGTAAAATTAAAAAAATGGGGTTACTCTCTTAATAAACAAGTGGATTTATTTTTGAAAAAATTGATTTTAATGATCCCACCTTTGGCCAATTCGCTGCTAATAATCTCACCTTTTGATTATTTATCTAATAATCCCATCTTTATGTTGTATTCTCTTCTACTGGTCCCTTGTGACCGATAACACGTATATTAGGTAAATTTTAAGAAAAAAAGGGTAAAAGGTGGGCTTTTTCACAAAATATCCAAAGGTGGGCTCGTTTTGAGCAGGTCGAGAAAAAGTGGGATTACTTTTTTCAATTTTTCCTTTCAAAAATACTAAAGCACCCCTAAAAAGTCTATTGCTATAAGGCAGAAAGCAGAAATCTTCACTATACAACATAATATAGATAAAAAAATAAATAAACTGTTTCTCCAACTAGAATACTAACCTCTGTTTCTGGTATATACACAATGATCCGCTTATTACACAACTTTGACAATACCTGCACAGAAACAAGTCACCGGCAACATAAGATGCATGTCAATCATAATTTTTAGTCTTTGAAGACATCAGGCATATGCAGAATATCAGCAAGAAACAGCAAGCATCCACAATGAGGACAAGTAGCCAGATCCGAATCTGGTATAAGATCCACTTGAGTGTTGTAAAATGAATGAACAGCACTCGGGCAACAAAGGTCCTACAGCCTTAGATTTAGGTGTAAACAAATACATGTAATTAAAATTTTCTTTCACAGGCAGGAAGGCTAAAGTTAATTAACTCAGTTCTATGCTCTCTAGCAGCATATGCATTCTCAGCTTTCAAATGTCCAATGAGCATCTATACTATAACTAAATTAATCACCGGAGTTCTCCCAAAATTAAATGTGGTTGCATCCACAATAAAAAATTTCGCGCCAAAAACTATTTTTTTTCTTCCCATTTTTCTTCAAAAATAACATGATTAAAAAAAATAGTGAATACAAACTTAGAATTATTTATTTAAAAAAAAAATTCTTGTGAAAACACATCCGAGCATGCCAGGGCCTCAGGCAAGGAATAAAAAAAAAAAAAAGAAAAGAAAAGGTAGTGGCACGTTCTGGTTGACAAAAACAAAGGCGTATACTGGAACAGGAGGAACTGCATTACTAAGCCAAAAGACGAAGGAAGTCTTGGGATTAAGGATGCTAGATAGTTCAACCAGGTGCTCCTAGCTAAATAAGGTTTAAAAATTATTCAAGAAGAGAACTCGCTTCTAAGTGAAGTTTTCAGGGCAACGTACAAAATCAATAGGATAAACTTCTTTGACAATTCTTGGGAGAGAAATATGGCAGGTTCTTAGAGGTGGAAGAGCATTAAAAGGGAAATCCAGTTTTTAAATTCGGGATGCTCATGGCTAATTTTGGTTGGTTGCCCAGCAAAAATTCACCATCCTTGGGTGAATGGTCATGAGCCACCGCGGAGTATTAAAGATCGATTGGGGGAGGAGTATAATGTCAGGTACCTGATCAATGAAAAAAACACATGGAAGATAAATGGGTGCAAAGAGCTCTACAATGAGAGAACGGTAGTTGAAATACATTCATTCTCATTACCCACGAGGAGTAGGAAATGGTGATCAAACTGTATGAAACGAGGGGAGGAGTGGAGTCTACAGTCTACACAATTAGAACTGGGTATAAAAAGGCTAAAGCCATTGTAAAGAGTGAAGAGGGAGAAGTGGGGAGAAAAAGAGACAACAAAAGCTGGAAAAGGAAGGATCAGCCAAGTAAGATACTCCTTCTCTGGAAAGTTTTGAACAAGGCCAAACCAGTTGGAAGTGAGCTTAAAATAAGAGGAATAAATATAGAAGCAAGTGATGTGCTGTGAAGATGAGTCAAATAATCAAAAGTACCAGGAAACACCACTGTGATTTTGCAAGACACCTCTGGAAGAGTGGACTTGTGACAGATTGGAAATAACAGGTCGACTTAGTTGCAGAAGGAGCCTGATAACAACAATATTGGCACGGACTACTCTTCAGCACCCCCAAGGCTGCACTGGGCTAGGAACAGGATAGTCAACCAAGGTATAGATCAAAACCCTGCAAATCTTTCGATGGAGATAACATCATAGCAAGGGCAGAGGAAATAAATAGAGAGATCAACCACCGATTATTAATAAAGCAATGGGGTGACAAACATACCATCTCAAGAGACCCAGAGGGTAATGCCGTTCCAAATGTCTTTGTTAAAGGAAAAAGCTAGTACAAAAGTCGAAGAAAAAGAGCAGAAAACAATGAACTCAAGGCAGAGATGAGAGAATCAAGAGAAGTACGAACTGATCCAGGGTGAAGAACAGTGCGCAAGAACAAACATCTCTTGTGCAGGAGTCTGGAAGATGATGAATCGAGGAACAGTAGCATGCATGATGATGACTGAACAAGGAATTATTTGGCAAGGAGAAAAGGAAGTCCTTAGTACGAGCAAGGAACCTTGGTTAAAGCACTTCAGTATACCATAGCAAAAGCTCAGAAGAGGAAAAAGTTGCACATTAATATCATCACAACAGACAGGAGACTTCTAAGCTGGCTAACTGTGGAAGGAGATGGGCCGATTGACTGCAGAAATCCATTACATGAAATCAAGCAACAATTATACAGTATACATACTACACTGTGTTAGCTTAGTCATTAATATAATTTTGCATCACATGGAAGGCTAGAGAAAGCAGTTAGGAAAAAGGGGGGGGCAGATTCGCTTTTTATTTCTGTCAAAAATAAATAAATAAAGAAAAAGAAAAGCATCGGAGTATCCTATTGAAATAATATAACACTGTGAATCAAAATTATCAGTAAAAACCTAGAAATCATGTTATTTCAACTATTCAAGATACTGATTTCAACTGTGATAACCATTTGTGCATTATATCTAAGTGTCTCATCCCTTGGGGCATGTTTCATGAGCAAACTTCACAGTAGGAGCTACAAAATGGATCCAAGTGCCAAATGGTTAGTTGGAGTAAAAAGACGTTAGACATTATGACAAGGGAAATTTTCGTCCAGAAAGTTCTCCCTTTTAAGTTTACCTGTGTAAAATTTAAGTTGGTGCATCAAGGTAATCAACAACTTCTTACTGGTCAGGTGTCAGGCTAACTCTAACTCTGCCTTAAAGAAGAAAGTGATTGCTAGCCTACCCTACAACTCATCTAATCATTCATACCCCCACCCATAAAAATTCATCATCAGCATCCCCTGCTTGGTCCACACTAGCCTATCTTGGCAAAATGTACCACCTGCTTTATTGTTTTAGTTGCTACTCTTCTTGTCATGGCCAAAGCACCTACACCTACACCTACACCTCACCAAGCTTCAACCCCATAAGGAGATAAGGATAATTTGAAAGGTAGGTATCAACTAGAGGAGGAGGTACAATTTGCTTATCATGTTATTAGCATTACAGGTGGAATTCAACTCCTTGGTGCACCTTGAGCCTTTTTAATTATTACTAGATACAATATTGCTAGTCCCGTCATTTTTCATATTAAGAGACTGGGGCTACTAAATGGGTTAAGTGCTAAACAGGATATAGGCATTTAAAATTTAAGGTAGTACAGGTAAATGAGGAATGGGATCATATTGAAATTGGGACAAGAAGGAAACTATTGGTTTGACCATACCTACATTTTATTTAGATATTCAAGAAAATAATTGGCAGGGTGCAGAATTTGCAATTGTGCCTTCTGCAGACAGTTTGAGATGTTATTTCAGGTTCAATTTAGTAAACTTATGCTACATTGTCAACATTCACCAAAACAAGCAATCAAAGTAGATGGGAGGGCCTTCCAAATACATGTAGAGGACAAGACATGCATGTTTACTTCTTCCTCTATTCATTAAAGCATGTGTCATGAAAGTTTTGGCTTGCTAGGTCACACTGACAATTCATATCTTTAGTTATCCTTAAAAATAATACACTAGCAATTTTAAATGATTAATATCAATAAATATTGATGAAAGGAGGATACCTACTCTCTTATTTCTATCCTGCTCATGTATTTTCTTTGCTTCTTCTGTTATTTTCTCTTGACTGGTTTGTACAGCCAGTTGTCCTTTTCTTGTATTTGGGTAACCATTCTAGGGATTGGTGTGCTCATGAATATAATGGGGGTCAATGTGATGTACGCAGCTTATGGTTTCCCCACATTATTTACTGCTCTTTCACAGCATTCTTCATATTAAATCTGAATCTGACATTAAATATTTTTACTTTACAATTAAAAACCCACAAAAAATTTATATTTTGAAAATAATCATTGGAATACATGTAAAAAGATTCCATGTGGTTATGATTTATCTTGTTTATATAAACAAATTGAATTATGTGAATAGTGGAGATGTCAAAATGTTGCACCTAAATATCAATGGAGGAAGTAAAAGAAGGTGCCTCACATCTAAATATTAATGGAGGAAGTATAAGCAAGTTGCCTCACCTTCAAAGCTTTATGAAGACATATAGTTATTGTCAACAATCAAAAAGTTGTAATTTTTATGAAGACATATAGTTATTGTCAACAATCAAAAAGTTTTAATTTTTAAATGGGTTATATATTCAATAATTTCATTTATTTTTTTTTTTTTTTTTCATGTGAATTTTTTCAATAGTAGGTTAATAATGCAAATACATTGTATAATATAAGTTAATAATGCAAAGACAATTATACATAGATAATTAACAACTTTATAGCTTTGACATCAAAAGGATACACCAAGCTATGAACCCGATTAAGATACCCATAGATTTGCAACAAACTAAGGCTTTAACTCTAATCATGTGCCCGACCAACCATGCACATACATGCACGTACAAATGAGGCCACACATCTCATTCCAGTTGAATTCTCTCGTCATTGTCAACATACTGTGATTTAGGTTAAGCAAGGTAGTGGGGGTCATTACAATGATAGCAAGGTCCTAAGTTCCTTTTACCACCAAGTTTGATCTACAAACCTACAAAAAAGTTATAAGATTCATTATTAAGGCTTATGAGTGTAGATTTAAAACTAGATAACAGTGTGTTGTTTGGGAAAGTTACTGTTACAGGCTTACATCATATATTTTCAAAAGAAAGTTTTTGTTTCTTAAGCATTGCATCTATTGTTGACTCTTGCATTCTTGCCTTTCATCACGTCATATACTTGAGTTAGACTTAATTATTGTAAATCGGCCATCTCCTTAATAGATTCAATTATTTGAATTTAAATCCCTAGTTTGTATTGAACTTCTGGAGATGGCTCTATGATGAACATATTTTTTTGTAAACTTAAATCCCTTTATTAAACTGTTGCACATCCTCCAATTTCATTGTTTCAAACTGCCAAAAAAATCAATTACTAGGTCTCACACTAGCGCTCCAAAGGCTAACTCCAAACTTCCAAAGTATCATCCTTCTATATGATTGTTCATATTGTTCTTTAATTCATGTTTATAAGACACAGATTACTCATTCATTTAATCATATACTAGTATGTTCCTTACTTGATAGTTCTTAAAGTAGGATTTTCTACACTAGTTTTCTTCTATGTATGAGATGGAGGAATCTAGAACAATCATAGGACATATTCATGGTAAACGCAGCCAGACAGGAAGGTAAAGAGGGATATTTGGTTGGTAGGAGACAGATATACTCTAAAAGAAGCTAGAAAGAGAGTAATTTTGTCGATTTCCTTTCTTAGACTAGTGTTATAAAGCCATTGTGTACATAAGAACAAGTTCTAGCAACTCTAGTCCAGGACTTGTCAACAGGTTACATCTTATCACAATTGAGTATATAAACAATTATTTACTACTTGACTCATACATCTATGCTATACTAATATATACCAGGCTTTGGAGAGGACTAACCAGTAGCTCGGACTCTCCACCCCAAAAGTCATGTCGTCCAATACGCTGGCAGTATCTGCAAAGAAGCTTATAAATGAGACCAAAAAGCACATAGCTGAGTTCATTGAGAACCAATACGCTAACTACACAAATTTCATAAGATGCAACCAAATATAAACAAACCGGTGCAAGGGCTCATCAACAGTAATTGCAGTGACTGCCTCCTGATATTGACGCCGTTCATTTTCATTTTCACAAATAACTTCTTTCACTGCAGCTCTTAACTCATCTGTAATAGCAAGTTTCAAGTAATTAGATATAACGAGATGTTTACAAGTTATAAATCAATTGGATTGTAGGAAAATTCTAACTCTTCACCAACCAATTCATTACAACTGGAAAAGATACACACTACATAGGCACTATCTATGTATCTGAAATCGTCAAGCAAGATTAAAAAGGGAAGAAAGAGTGAGAAGGGTAAGAAATAAATAAATAAATACCAGCATTATCTCTTTCTTGTTGTGGTGTAAGAGTTATTCCCTTGTTCCTAGCCATGCCTTTAACCTAATGTCATAATGAATATTATTATTAGTAGAGCAATAACATTAAAAAAAAAAAAAAAAAAAAAAAAAAAAAAAAAAAAAAAAACAAACACACAGGCGCGCACAAAGCTCGATTTTTTAAACCAGTTTCATTATTTCAGTAATACTACAGTACTTGCCAAATCTGTAGGCTATCATCCTAGAAAAATTCAAAATAGATATTTGGCTTAATATGGGCACCATATATTAGAATCAATAGCAGGTTAAGGAGCCTTGTACACTACGCCTACATTTAAGATGCATCTTGAGCGCATATATCTGAACAAATACTACCTCAATTTCACATTATATGCAATGATTAGACACTTTCCCTCACACTTTCCAGATACTAGAAAATGAAAAGATTTAGCTAACTATAGCGCAATACCTTCGAAAACCAATGGTATGATAACGCGCTCTACTAAATGAAGGGCTAAACTAAACAAAACAAAAATATACGCAACAAAGGATGCAACTCCTCCCTTAACGAAGTTGAAACTTATAAGTTAATAGCAAAGTGTTTATCAAACCTGAACTGTACAAGATTTCAACTACATCATTGTCCTTAATGGGTCTCTCTAAAAAGAAAAAAAACAAACAAACAAGAGATTCTTACGAGTGCTCGAAACATGCAACGGCCATCCCCAGTGACCTTCAGAATTGTGTAACGCTCCACCTTTATGTTTGAGGAAGAAACTCTACTTCTGAAGTTAAATTTATAAGAAAACATATAATTTTAACAAAAATATTTGCCTGACCAAACTCATACTATACAAATGAATTACTACCTTCATTTCATATTATTTGCAACATGACATGAAGTGTGAGCGTAATGTATTTAATCGTTGCAAAAATTTAAAACGGAGGTAGGAGAAGTGGATAAGAACTTACTGCGGAAGTCCGATTCGGGCGAAAAAAAGAGAACTGGTGTTGTTAAGGAATTGAACTGGGTTGGGAGTTGAAATAGAATCAACAGCAGATGATACAAGCTCAAATTTAGCACTACCATTTCTAAGTTTGTCAAGAATGGTGTCTACAATAACAGAATAAAGCAGAAAACTAATACAAAATCAGAGTCAAATTTCACAATTGAAATTGTAAGGAAAATTTGTAAGAAAAAACCTATTATAACCCTCTTTTTGTCGGAAAAAACCTTTTAAAAATTTTTTAGCCAAAAGAAACCTATTTCTAAAAAAAATTTTGTTGAAGACAACCAAAAACTCTAATTAATCTAATTAGCCCTGGATTACCCCTAATTATCTATTTCATCTTATTTACTTAACTACTAAATCTTATTTAATTATTTAGAAATAATAAATAAATTGATAAATTAAAAAATTAAAAAAAAAAAAAAAAAAAAAAAAAACTTAAGCCACCCCCCAAACCCCATTACCCCCTGCCACCCTCCCCCTTCCACCTCCCTTGGTAGCAGCCACCCCCACCCTCACCTCTACCCGCAAACAGAATCCTTACCCCTTGCACCGACAAACCCCCTCCCCGCGCCCCCCTGCATCACCCTCTTCTTTCCTTGAACCACCACCCATCTCCGACACCGACCAAACCTCCTCTCCTAAGGCTGGCCTACCCAGCCAACCCTCTCCACCGCGCCGACAGGAGACCCAACCCTCTCCCTTTCACCCATCACGACGACCAGAGACCCAACCCCCTCCCTTTTACTCGTCGTGACCACCTACCCCCTACACCCTAACCTGAAAATTCCACCCCTCAACCATAAACAACCCCTCCTTTTTCCACACCCATAAACGGCCTTCCCTTGTCGTTTCAGGGTGTAGGAAATGAAGTGGTGGCCGTTTAGTGGTGGTGGTAGAGAGGGGGGTGGGAGTTTTTGGGGTTAGGGTATAGTGATTGGTGGGTGGTCGCGGTGGTGGTTCAAAGGAAAAGGAGGGGGTAGGGACTTTGCCGGCGCGGGGGAAGGGGAGGGGTGTGGGGGGTTTTGGTGGCAGGCAGGGGTGGAGGCGGTTGCTACCAGGGGTGGCAGCTGGTGATGGGGTTGGGGGTGGTTTATGTTTTTTTAATTTATCAATTTATTTTTTATTTTTTATTTTTAATTAATTAATTAAGGTTTAATTGATAATTAGGGGTAATTAGGTTAATTAGAGTTTTTAGTTGTCTTTAACAAAAAAAATTTAAAAACAGGTTTCTTTTGGTCAAAAAATTTTAATTTAAAAGGTTTTTTCTGACAAAAAAAAGTATTATAATAAGTTTTTTCTGACAAATTTTTCAAATTGTAATAACAATTACTCCTTTCGTGTTTTTTTAAGTGACATACTTTGACCAACACAGAGTTTTAGGAGATTTTATTGACTTTAATAAAATAAAATGTTAGTGGGTAGGTTGGAGGAGTGAGAAATGATAAAGTAAAAGAATGTGAGAGAAAGTGGGAAACATAAAAGGAGTGAAAAATGATAAAGTAAAAAACAGTGTGGTGAAAATATATTATTAAAATATAGGGAATTTCTAAAAAATGAAGGGTGTCACTTACAAAAAACACAGCCGAAAATGGAAAGTATGTCACTTAAAAAAAAACACGGAGGGAGTACAATAAAACTCAAAAAGAATATTTGAACAAGGCGAAGAATGTACCGTTCGATATTGTGACAGCCATGGATTAACAACACTAAATCAAGTAGAATATCATCAAATCAACTTCAACTGTCAACAAATTCGAATTTCAATATCATACTCAACGATTAAAAATATGATTCGGAACAATGAATTTAAAATGAACGGCAAACCTCCGTCGTTGTGCTACTGTTTTTCCCGCCGTGTTGCAGCCGTCTCAACCTACGCCTTATTAATTCTCTAAAATTGGTGGCGCCCGTTGCGGAGTGCGACGAGAGCAGTGGTGTAGTGTATGATTAAGAAGATACTCCGGCTTAAAGGATAAGACAGATATAAAAGACTCCAGTTTTAAAAGACGGTGCATCAAAGTCTTGTTTGGCATTGCTACAGTTTTAGCGGTCAAGTAGCGAGTATCTATCAATTAATAGTGGGTAAAGGTTGGCTATTAAAGTAACACTTGATAGCATGAATGTTTAGAAAAAGTATCAATTGAAATACTAACTATATCAAAATTCATATCAAGTAATACCCTAATAATTTAATACTCTATCTATATATTTTGTTAAAAAAAGATAATTTGTCAATTACTACCGCAAGTTAATAGCACTTCATAAATTACTACCACAAATTAAAAAAGCTGTGAATTACTACCGCAAAATTTTTTAAGATGTTGCGATTACTACCAAACCCCCATTAAACCCAATTATGACTCGTTATAGCTTTTCAACCCATGGCTAAAGCCCTTAACCATGGTCAAACATGGGTTAAATTCCTTAACCATGACATCATTATATCCCTAACCCATTTTCTTTTTCTTTTTTTTTGACTGGTTAAAGCCCTTAACCATGGTCAAACATGAGTTAAAGTGATACAATGACGTCATAGTTGGTTTTAATGGGGGTTTGGTAGTAATCGCAACATCTTAAAAATTTTTGCGGTAGTAATTCATAACTTTTTTAATTTGCGGTAGTAATTTACAAAGTGGTATTAACTTGCAGTAGTAATTAGCAAATTTTCCTAAAAAAAATGTTTGGTTTATTTTTTACTCTCTTTCAAATTTACAGGTTATTTTTTCTATTTTAAATCTCGAGGACGGGACTTGTTTAATGGATGGTAGACTGTAATACCCTAACTTTTTCTATTTTAAGTTTCGAGGACAAAACTTGTTTTAAGGAGAGGTAGATTGCAATACCTGTAAATCTTGTGATTTTATAAAATTTTACTTTTCTATATAAGTTACAATTTATTTTAGGAAAAATTAGAAAAAATAATCTTAGCTTTCATCAATTTTGGTAAAATAATCACAACTTTGGATTATTCTTGAATAATCCGAACTTTGGGGGTCTTCTTTTTCCCCAATCCCAAACTGGTCAACCAAAGTCAATGACCTATTATATCAGGTCACTTGACACGTGTCAAATCCTGATTGGTCCAAAAACAACAAAAAAAATTAGAAAACCACCCAGCATCCCCTTCTCCCATCGATGCATGCATCCTGACCACCACCACAGCGTAGCCCACCACCCCACCGATCCACCCTAACCTCCACCACAGCCCAGGCCGTCACGTCTCCCTCACCCTTTGAGTCGTCGTTTTTCCCTCACCTCGAAACCCGACGCAACCACCGGAATCATTAACCCCAAAAACCACGCAACCACCGTAACCCCAAAATCGCAGCCACTAAACTCCAAAATACCCCTCCCCACCCCGAAACCCTAGCATCTAGGGTTTTCGATGGTGGGGGGAGGAGTGTTTTGGTAGTTTTCGGGAGTGGGCCGGTGGCTTTGAGGGATTTTCAAGAGTGGGGCTGGTGCTTTTGGGGTTTTCGAGAGTAGGGGCTGGTGGTTTCTGAGGTTTGACAGGTGGTGTGGGAGTTTCGAAGAGGGGATGGTGGTTTGGCTCAGAGCGGTGACTCTAGGAGTGAGGGAAGGCTAGAGGTCTGGCGAGGGAGGTGGTAGGTTGGCAAATTGGCCGGTGGTTGGGGCTTTGGCTGGTGGTTATGTTTTTAATTTGTTTTTTTATAAATATTTTAAGCCAATTAATTTGTGACATGTGTTACTTTAACAAAAAAAAAAAAAAAAAAACTCATTCGACCGGTTACCGGTATTTGGGATTGAAGAAAAAGAAAATCCCAAAGTTCGGATTATTACATAGTAATCCAAAGTTGGGATTATTCTACCAAAATTGATGAAAGTTGGGATTATTTTTTCTAATTTTTCCTTTATTTTATTATTTTATTAAATTATAAAACCTATTTTAAGTCTAGTAGGATTCTTTTTATAAGATATTATTAATTCTCGAATTTCTTCAAGATTTTCGAACTCACATTTCTTGAACTTTTCAAGGCTCTCGAACTTTTCGAGATTCTTATACTCCCACTTGCCTTTTGAAGAGGAATATTCAGCATTGGGTGAACCAACCATGGTTTGAACCATGTTTGTTTGTTGCTTTTCTCGAACTCTTTCGAGATTTATACTACTCCCACTTGACCTTTTGGAACAATTTTCCATAAGGGCACCTACTTGAGCAACAAACATTTTTGTGCTAAGTATGGTTTGTGTAGTAGTACCCATGCTCTATATAGGAATTAAACCTGCATTAAACGATTTAATACAACTTTTATTCCTTTTTTTGTAGAAAGACTTTACAAGAACATTTCTTATCCATATTACGTATGAAGCCTTTTCTGTATTTTGATTTGACGTATGTAGTTGTTGTTTAGTTTTGTAGCTTATCTTAAAAGTATATCCCTTGAACAATGGGAAGATAGGTAATTTTTATCCATTTATCAAAATATATCTTATATAGATTGATAGCTCCCTTCATAAACACTTCATAAGGTTTTCTTTCGAAGTTTGTTGTAAAACGATTTCACAACTCTTGGATGTTTATCAAGGTCTTGGATTAAATTCTCATGATTACGGTCATATCGCAATACTTTGAATATATTGCCAAGTAAATGTCTTAACTCAAATTTTCACAATTACAATCATATTGTAATGTAATCATTATCTTGTCAAGTTGATACTGAACTTCATACCGAACATTTTGAACTTTTCATAATTTTCATACTTATGCTTCAACTAAGCACAAGTAATCATATCACAAATGAAGTTTCATTGTCCGTCTCTAGCCTTTGAACCTTTGGTTTTCTTACATCGATATGTATTCGACCTCGAGTTCGCATCATTATTTCTCTAAATGATGACTTTGTCAAAACTTTTCGAATTAGAATGATATTTACATATATCAATGGATTCATAACCCAATGATATTGAAAGTCCATACCTTTGGATTTTCCGCATGCAATGTTCATTTTTCATTCGAATTATTTAACATTTTAGAGACAATTTATCTATAGAAATGGTTTAATTAAATTTATCATGTAGAACTTTAAACCTATTTAGCAATTCAAAACACATTATGACTCAAAGAAGCGTAAAATAACATTTATTCTACCTTTTTGAATCTTCGATGCTTAGTCATTACTAACATTGAATGGTGTTTTGATGATGGCAAGAATGAATAATATTTATTTAATTCTAGCCAATAACAAGGTGAGGTGAAATATAGGTTCTACTTGTAAAGTTGCAATTTTTGCTTCCAGACTCGTAGATTCTACTTGTGAAGTAGCAACATTTGCTTCTAAACTTGTAGATTTATTTCCCCTTTAGCCGTACTTCTTCATTTAGTTCAACCACATTGTGAAATGAGTGATCTAAACAGGACATCTTATGTCCAAGAAGTAGCAATATGCTAAATCAATTTCTATAATATACTTCTTATATTTGGAACATTTGCATTCTTTTACCTTCCAACTATATGAGGTAGTTTCTAATCAATTAGAATTGGTCCATTTAATTTGAAACATTTGTTGTTCATAACAACTTTTAGCATGTAAGTAGTTCTAGGTTTAAGAAGTAGCAATTTGTTTGCATATCTTGGCCTATAACTTCTCAATGCAATCCTCAAACATATTCTTAAACCTTTCCCATTTGAGCCACTTAGAACATTTCTCTTGGGTTCAAAATGATACTTTTCTTAACTACTTTAAGCACACTTCATGATTTTGCTAAGTCTATTCAATCATTATTCATATTAGAGCTTAATAAACTATTTAACTCTTATATAAAATGGATGAAGAATAATATCATTTGATCAACTTTTGATCACATAGATTTCCAATCACTTTCTTATATTCAATCATATTGAAGATAAGAGATTTTATTAGACTTCTATACTTATCTTTTAGAGGGTTTGTACTTCCTATCTCATTATATCCCTTGAAGCACTTTTCAAAAGAAGATGTGTTGGCATTTTACTCAAACATTTTGAATAAAACCAACCTTATACATTTGACATGGGTTTAAAACTTGCCCTTTTAGAACCATCTTAGCAAAATTGGAATATAGGTTTATGGATTATTTTTTAACCTTTTGAGAACGTTTCTGAACTTTATTTTCAATCGAGGAGATTTATATTATAATAAAATTAGAACGACATGTTACTTAATAGTAAGTAAACACAAAATTCAATTATGTTTAATAAAATTTAAAGTACCATAAGCGAATTAAATTGGTAACTTTAAAAAACTTTATTCAATTTAAGTGATCCCAACTTGAATTAAGTGATTCCAAGACCCTTTATTTGTGCAATAATTGACCGGACTTTGGCCCTACCATCAACCATTACATTTTCAAGGCGAGTAAACTCTTTACTGATTATAACTCTTGTAATTCTTGGATGAATAATTAACCATCACATGTTTAATTATTACCCTTTAATTTGCTTCAAGGTTCTAAACTCTTTAGGTAACCTTGTTGAGTATAACCAATTAAAATTGTAAAACTTGATTTACCCCATCTTCCTCGAGATATAATATGACACCCAGCTTTGGCATGACCCATCATAAATATCGAAGGTTTCATTGGTTTTTTAATTGGAAAAGCAACCTCAATATTACCGGGACCTAGATTTATTATATTGTGATCATTTAGTGAACTCTAGCGCATCATCACAAAACATCAATAAAATCTAACATGCATAAAATACTGAATGCATAAACAAGACATAACATGACCCCTAATCCTAAGAAAACTAATAAAGTAAATGCTCCCACTTGAATCATCATGGATCTCATCCACCTTGCTCCTTTGGGCCTTCACTTCATGGCTTTTTGGATTAACTGCAACCTGTAATTTTACTCTATTCTATCTACTACTTAAATAAAATGAAATAAAATTACAAAAATAATTTATCGGTACGTAGACCGTATGAAGATTACAAAAATACATCAAACGATGCGCAGATCGTATTTAGTAATCTACTGGGCCATACTAGTCATTATATAGCAATAAACAACATCT